GGAATGACTTCTTCATCACCATAAAGGGGTCTCATTGCAACATCTTTCCCGAGACCTACAAAAGAAAAAGAAAACAAAAAGACAAGTGAGTTTGAGAAAAGGCCAGAACCATAAGCATTCCGAGACAGAATCTTACCATGATTATGGGCCTCCTAACGACCCTTTGACAACTCCATCCAGGAACGTTCGGAGTAGGGTCTCTGTGACACCAGGCCCTCGACCCATTTCTTTAATTCCAGAATTGGGTCCGACATTTGGGCCACAACTGCAACACCAAAACAAAGATAAGGAAAGAAGATAGGAAGCGAAAAGGCAAATTAAACGTTCAAGGTAAAGTGTACTTACGTTTCATGTTCCACTTCTCAAGGAGCGGCATGTCTTCAGCAGGGATCAGGTTCGAAGTCCTTATTAGGACAAATTGCCCCATCCAGCCTCGATCCCGAGATTCGTCTATGCTGGAGGATGAGGCCCTACTGGCCCAGCGGGCAAGCTTGATCAGTCCTCCTCGATAGAGCAGGGGACTGTAAAGGCGCATGAGATGATCGAGGGTGAAGGGACATCCCTCAATTTTGCTTGTGAAGAATCGAGGAGAATCACTATTCTCCAGAAAGAAGGATGGATTTGACCTAGGGTGACATCGTATCTCTTGCAGAAGGCGACGATGATGGGGTCTAAGGGACCCAACGTGAAGGGGTAAGTGTAAACACTTAGGTACCCCTCCACATGAGTGGTGATTAATTCCTCAGGAGAAGGAACTACTACATCCGTATTTTCCCAGTTACACTCCTCTTTAACTTTTTTGAGGATGTCTTTAGTGATCGTGCATATATACCTCGAGACAGGTTCACATCGGCCCTGCACCGAGGAGGTCTTCTCGATTTTAAAGTCTGTGACAGTTGAGCACCCTACCAGAACGAATTCCTCAGGGTGAGGCTCCGCCACAGCCTCATCACCGACATGCCGTGATGAAGAAGCAACCTCCTTTTGTGGCACAGTTTTGGAAGTTTTAGCCATTAAAGAACAAGAGAGAAGGGAATTGGTATGATATGCGGTTGATTAGAGTTCAAGAAATTTAGGTATGAAATTATGAAGCAAAGGGATTTTTTCGAAAGGTAAGAGCAGGAAGAGCATTGAGTGTAAAAGTTTGAATGAGAAAGGGCTAGGGTTCTTATAGGCTGCAGGCGACGGTTCAGAACTGGAATGGTCGACCAACCACTGATAGGCATTTAATGCCTTGGTAATTGGACCGACGGGACATTTCATCGCTTACGTCATGATCGGGCTCGTCGCTGATGTCATCACTCATTGAGGCGGAGTTCGGAAATTCATATCGTTTCTCGTCACCTTCTTCCCGAGAAACGAGGGGACTATCTCTATAGGGTCAAAACGGGCTTGCCCTTTTGATGACTGATCGAGACAGGAACGTGATAGGTCAAGGTTCGGCCTCATGCTATATCGAGACATAGTACGAAGTTAGATTGCTGAGCTCGTGACCCAGAGACCGATCAAGATCGAGATCGGCCAAGATCGAGACCAAGCAAAATAGAGCTCGAGCAAGACCGATGGGAGTTTACCTAGTCAAGTAACGGAAAGCCAAAATATCCGTAATCGATCAAGGATCACGACGGAAATCTCGGCACGTATCAAGATAAGACCGATTAATTAGCAAATTATGGGATTTCTTACTGTATTTAGAGTTATAACTAAAGTAGGACTCCTCTACAATATAAAGAGGATCTGATCATTTGTAAAAGAGCATTACATTCACGCAATACAAAGCAATACACTGTCTTCTTTTAGCTTTCAATATCAGTAGAATCTTTACTTGGTTCGAGGGTGACCTAAATCGAGGACCAAAGCTATACCTTTCATTTGGTTTGCATTTATTTCTTTTTACAGTCAATTTCAATATCAATTTATATTTTCTCAGTTTGTGCCAAGTAAAATCACGTGTCTTTCAAACCACGTATAAATTCAATTGTTATCCATTTTTAGGGTAAACAATTCCATTCTTAAGAGCATGTTTTATTGGAATATAATAGCATCTATTAGGTGTTTCTTTTCCTATAGTACTGGCCTACTGTTTGTTTTGAAGTGTAGAGATCTGCTTTCCTTTTATGACACTTTATTCGATTGATGTCCTGTTTGAAATTTAAAATGATGATCCAATGATTCTAAACAAATATATCTTGAACTTATGTTTTAAGTTCTTCCTATGCATAGACAAACAATGTCCAAAGAAGTCAATAAGTCAAGTTAAAGGCTTAGACACCGGAAGTTTAAAATAATATTTGTTGAATTAGACTTCTTCTCGGGGCTACTACTTTCTACCTTCACTTACTTTTACAATTCTTTTTCAATCCTTGAAAAAAAAATATTCATTTATGAAAAAACAAAAATACTCATTTTATTGAAATAAAAAAATATTTTTTTATATCATTAAAAAAATATTTTTTTTATTGAAATGAAAAAAAATATTTTTTCTACATAAAAAAAAGTATTTTTTTGTTAAAATGAAAAAAAATAATTTTTTATATCATGAAAAAAATACTCATTTGTTGAAATGAAAAAAAAGTTTATCTATAACATGAAAAGAAAGTAATATTAATAATATTTTTATTTAGGGTGGGGTTGGGGCGGGNATATTTTTCTCCGAGGAAAATGAGTTCATGAGGAAAATATTTTCCAAAACATTTAGGCCAACTAAACATGGGGAAATTGAAAAATATAGGAGGATGTTTAAGTGTATTTCACCTCTTTAGTTCTTATCTTAGCAAGCTTTTGTCCCCCCCAAAAAAAAAAACCTATCTTAGTAAGCTATTTGAGTTTCTTATATTTCTTGAATAGCTACATCGACATTTGAAGATGATGTGAGTCCTAACTTGAATAGACTAATAAAAATGAAAATGATGAAATTTCTGTGAACAAGAAAAGGTCAAATGTGAAAGAAAGAAGGAAAAACTTGGCAGTTTAAGTATATTCCAATTCAGAAGATAAAGTGAAGGGACCAAAAGCTCATGTATATGATGAACATGAATTTGAAAAATAGTACTATAATAACCTCCAGAAAAAAAAAGAAGCATATGTTGAGAAAGCTGATAAAGGGTTTTGAATTTAACAAATTGTAAAAAATATTTACCACAAGTGGAATTGTATTATTCCAAAAGAATACATAACAAGCAATACTAGGTAAGGAGAATCTAGAAATACACATGTAATGCATGTGATGAAGTAGTAAAAATGTGTGAAAAATTTCTGCTACCAAAATTCTTTGTGAATGTAATATGAAGAATAGAACAAAAGGTGCTTCAAGTCATACCATCTGTTTAGAGGCAAATAGGTGAATACAAAGAGAAAATACCATATGAATACTGATTGTTCTACTTTACAAGTTTACATCCTCTTCTGCTATCTTGCTCTATTGGTATTTTGGAAGCTGCAACTTCCCTTCACAACATTTTTCTTTCAATGAAGAATAATACATCTATTTTTGGACTTCTTTTAATTAATTGGTGTTTACTTGCTTTTTATAGGTGCTAAACACTTCTCCTCACATGGTGATTTTTGGAATGGCAAAGATTAGACTGCTGACAACCTCTTACTAACGATGAACTCAAATGCATGTGCTTGTGATGTATTTGCAAAAGAAAACATTTTCTAGGGTATTATGTCTATAGTATTAGAATGATACTAGAGAATATACTATTTTGCACAAATAAATAGTAGATAAAAGTCTTTGTTTTAAGCTTACCAGTTATGACATTTGTATAGATAATGATCATGTATGTCATGTTCTGCCCTTGCATTATTTAATCTTTTCTTTCTACATTTTTATGTCAAAGCAAATAAATATTGGCACGGGCCATCACCATCTAGTAGTAATAACATACATTGGATATACTTTTTTGGGGGGCTAAATACTGAATATACACCTACATTTAATAACGTTAGATACTTTAATGCATAGAGTATCAATTTTTTCTATAAAGATGGTGTTCGCACCGGCTTGTGTACACCTCGAATCTTTAACTCAATACCTGCTACTTTTCACCAGCAAGACGACGACAACAACAACAACAATAATTTCAGTGTATTCTTACAAATGGGGTATGAGAAGGGTAGTGTATACGCAAGACTTATCACTACCTGTTGAAGGTAGAAAGATCGTTTCTAATAGACTCTCGGCTCAGAAAAAGTGAGAAAGAAGAAGAAAAAGAAAGAAAAGGAAGAGAGAAGAAAAAGAGGAATAAAAGAATAAGTTATAGCACTCCCTCTGTTTCAATCTAGATGAGGTAATTTGACTCGGCACAGAGTTTAATAAGAAAAAAAAGACTTTAGAAACTTGTGGTCTTAAAAGCTTAAGGGGTAAAAATTTTGTGAGGTCATGACATTTGTGTGGTTATAAAAGCTTCTCATGATGGGTAAAATGGATAAAATGAAGAGTTTCAAATTGAATTATTTCCAATTGTAGAAATGTGTCATTCTTTTTGGAATGGACTAATACGGAAAGTGTGTCATCTAAATTGAAACAAATGGAGTAACAAGGAAATACAATAACTTAAGCGAACTAAAGAACATGACGTAATATAGATCTAAGAATATGAAGGTACATGAATGTTACTAATATTACTAGCTATAAACGGGGAAACTTTCAACTACCTACTAGCAAGACATATAGGAATATCAAATTAATTAGTAAACTCTAATTATGTGGTTGAAATCACATTATTTATTTTTTTGGTTTCTCACCTGATTTCCAGTACCCACTTTCGGTCCCGACTTATACTTGCTTCCAATCTTATTTGCCAAGGTTCAATAAAAATAAAAAGAGGTAGTTTCATTGAATAAAATTCAGAAATGAGACTTGGTTGTCACTTGTCACCTGCACCATAAACATATGACCTAACAAATAATAGACCAAAATGAGGGAAGATAATAGCCAAGGGCTAAAAGGAACGTAGGGAGAAGGACATTTACTAGTATCTTAGAAAACACTTAGGAGCCCAGTAAGTTGAATTGGTATATGCTTCACAATAGTTGATCTCACAAATTTTACCATCTTGTACACGTCTAAGCATTACACCAAAAATTCTGCATATTCAGTTGTCCTGCTGCATTTGTTCTTAGGTAAAATAATGTTAACCACGTCGAAAACAAAAGGTTATTGTTGCCACCTTATGACAGCTCAGGCGGTCTAAAATCTTCCAACTGAGTGCTGGAGGCACTGCAGATATCTCTCAAGGCTGATTCTCCCTTCTCTGATCTTATACGGTTAAATGTACTTTCGAGAACTTCATATCCCAATCCAGTTTGCAGAAGATGACCAGGCTCCTCACCAGCATGTCGTATAAGATGTCCTGCTTCTTTCAGAGATATCACATTTTCACTAATTAATCTACCAAAAATGTGACCAAGAAATGTAGGTGCTTTTGGAGCATCAGTAACTTCATCCTCCAAAGTAGCCAAAACTGATTCAAACCTGCTTAGAGAAAACCAACTATAAGCAAAGACTCGGATGAAATTAGGAAAGAAACTGGCTGCTTACCCTTCAATGAGCTGACTGATATCTGGTACCACCTTGGACTTCGTAAGACTGATAAGAAGCCGAGCAAGAAGATCTCTATCCCTTTCTTTCCTCTGAAATGAGTCATTTACCCATATCGATAACATCATTGGAAGAAAGCTTGATGAGTTCAACTCTCTAATGCGTAGAACAACTTCATCCTCATCAACTGCACTGGAACCAGAAAATCACACGCATTATAGCTGTAAAGTGAAATATAGGAAGAGCAGGATTCCTTGAATGAATATTAAGATGAGAAAATAGATAGGAAGCTTATCATTTTTCTTTTCCTTCAAATTAAAAGTGGGAAATCCCTGAAAGGATCTTCTCTCATGTAGTCAAACAGAATGAAGGAAGCATGTCAAATACATTATGTAAATGCAGTTGACGGTTTTCTTCGCTACAAGTTTCCTTAACAAAGTTGGTTGAATATGAAGCTACAATCATAGGAGTACTTTTCCTTACTAGAATAACTTTCACGTTACAGATCTGTGCAAACAAATACTCCATCTCATTAATTACACTGAGGCGGAAAGTCTATAAAAGTAACCATATTTCAAAAACTTCGTAATTAATTAGCAGGTCTTATATGCACCTTTTTCTTCAGATGGTTCTTTTACTTTCTTGCTAAGATGCAGATTCTGAAAAAAGTCCTCAAGTTAAAATCTTTATTTACATTTTATGATCAGTAATTCACTTGTTACGTTTTCGAGCTGCGTACAATAGACCCTTGTGGTCCTACCCTTCCCCGGACCCCGCGCATAGCGGAGCTTAATGCAGCGGGCTGCCCTTTTTTTTTTACATTTTATGGTCAGTAATTCACTTGTCACGTATAGTTTTCAACACTGTTTCTGTTATGGATTCATCGTAAAAGAAAGGAGTAGCAATTAGGTTATAGACAAATCTAACAATAGAAGAGAGAAAATTTACCTGTAAAATTCTCGAATAGCTCCAATCGACATTTCTCTAAGACGTTCTTCAGACCATATCATTCCTGGTGAATTTGACACAGCAGACGGTCTATGCGGATGGGCTGCCGCTGGTGGTTCCGCAGATCTCCCTGAAGGATTTATATTTGTTACTTCTCTTTCTGCATAATGTTCGTGCTCACGTTGATTTGGTTGAGCATAAGCAATAGGCTTCACAGCTGTCCCGGGAGCATATTTGGATGTCGATTCTTGTCTTGAGTTGTATGGTGACCACCCGGATGTTGGATTCCGCCCACCTGAACCAGCAGCCGGTCTTCTGGATTCTCCAAAACCAGCATGTACATCTGCCACAGGACCACCAGAATGCATTGGTGGGCCCCTGAAAGACGTTGCCCTTCCGGGGCTTCCCCGCGGACCAAGGCTCATTGTTTTATCATCAACAGGTCGCTGTGGCAAGGCAGCAGATGATGTCCTACTCTCATGTGGATGTCTAGATTCTGACCTGAAATCCTGGTTTCCAAATCCGCGATTTTGTGATGTCATTCCACGAAATGGAGTCATTTGAGGAGCTGGAGGAGAAAACATGGATGGCCGAGGACCTAAATCTGCGGGCTGCCCTCTTCTAGAAGAAGAAACAGTGCTTGGACCACGAGTGGACCGGGTGACCTGAGCTCGACGTTCTTGAACAGCATCCCTTCGCACTTCCTCTATCTTTTTGGGGCCTTCTACTTTTCTTCTTTGCTGCCACTTATTTTTTCTCAAATCAATAATATCCATCAACATAAACCTCACCCTAGAAGACAAATCTGTATTATTAGCCATTGTCGTCATCATGTCAAAATAGGCATCCATGTAATCCTTCGCCTTGGAGTGGTCGATCATATCTCCTATAGTGCTCATAAGTTTGCAGAGAGCCTCAATATCTTCTTCATCTGGAGTCTGGTACTGCCCCAGCAATTTCTGGATGCACTCATGCATTATCCTCTCTGTAAGCATCTTCTTCTTGTATAATTCTCCAATCAATCTTATGTTCCCTAACATCCTTCTTCGCGCTTGTAACCTCTTCTCCTCTCTCTTCCCCTCTGACATCTTCATCTCTCCGTCCTCTTCCATACTGTCGGCTTCCGCCTCTTCTCTTTCACCTCTCTCGAACTCCTCCTGGCATTTATCAAGGAGCAGTCTCTTAAAGGTTATTTTCTGATCGTCCTCCACAAAATCAGGAAGTTCCCCAGCTAGATGAGAACAGAAATTTGCGTACATCTCACAAAATGTTGGCTCCATTAGAGCTTTGTCAAATATCTGTGAAATCACACCAGCAAGAGTGTTAGCACTGTCAATATTTACTTCCTTTACTTGCTCAAACAGCTTCTCAAAATTTTGTGGAGTTAGCTTGTTGAGGATAGCTTTCAACTGTCGTCGTTTTGCCTCTTCCTCATCAGTCACTTTACGTATCTCATATTTCTTGTCAGCTTTGTGCATAACTTGCAGTGGAGAGTGAGGAGAAGGCATTAATCCTTTTCGGGAGCCAGAAACCCGCTGCCAACGGTTGGCATCGGACCGAATATGTTGTACTCCTCCATGAGAGGCCAATGGCAGCATTGCACCAGCAGGAAACACAGATACATATTGGCTAGGTGGCTGTCCTTGTAGATTCCTCATATTCTTGTGGTTTCCTCGACCTGAACGAGGACCATTAGCACTGCCCCCTTGGTTGATATCAATATATTGCTCATTGACCCACCTACTATCATCCGCCATTCCAGTAGGACGGTGCTCAGTCCAAGAAGAGCTACCTTGTCTGCTAGTATTGGTTTGACCAGGACAGGANTTCAGTCCAAGAAGAGCTACCTTGTCTTCTAGTATTGGTTTGACCAGGACAGGAATTCGGGTCATTCTTGTTAAAATCTACCCCTTTTGAAATGCTGGCGTTAGGACTCAAAAGGGCCTCCACCATATGCCATGGAACTTCAAAATTAGCAGGAAGATCAGCAAAATGAGAAGAAAGGGTAAGAAGGAAATCTCTTGAGTATCTCATTTTGCCTGTAGTGGCACTTCCACCATTTGGATGCCTAAGCATATCATTAACAATTTTGTTGTTACCGGAATTTTCCAGCTTTGGAGTTGACATAGCAGCATCTTCCCAGTTGTTAGGTTCACCTGTACTCTTTTTATCTTCATTTGCGGAAAAATCTTCTTCGTTGGAACTCGATGATATCTTCCTTGCAGTGAGACTGGTGCAACTCTCAACACTTTCTGAAGAAACAGAAGACTGTTGTTTCTCCTTGGGTCCCTTAAATGCCATATAAAGATCTAACGTGTCCCCAGCCGCATCAGCTTTCTGAAGAATTTCTCTCCTCTTTTTCTTTCCCCTGGAGGTTGTACTTTTCACCTTATTTGAAGGTTTATCCTTTGAACCTGATCCTTGAACGCGACGATATTCTGTTTTGGTTTCCTCAGAGACTTTTCCCCTTGTTTTGGTATATGACGGAGATGATGGTGAAGTGGGAATATGAGAATCCTCATGATGCTTTGCTCCAGATCCAGAAAGCAAAACATCTTTATTATTTGTTTTAGCAGCAGGTCTAGTTTCAGGAGATATCGATCCTAATTCATTATCTTCAGTTAAATATTTCGGTGAACCACACCCAGGCACCATAACATCAGAAATATTGCGACCTGATAAGGCAGCAGAATGTGACAACTTATAAACCACATTGTTAGTTTCACAGCCACCCGCACTCGATAATTGATCTGATGCATTCCTACCATTTTCCGTTGCTAAATGTGAGTTTCTTTCAGTTTGTTCACTTGCTTTCGCTGTCATGGAGCTATAAGTATCCTCATTTTTTATGCCCAGAGAAGGCCGTCCAAATGGATTAGTTGTAAGTTGTCCTTGTCTAATGCCCTTACCAGCAATCACATTCCCCTCATCAATTGTCACACCAGATTGTTCTGAAGCTTCATCTGCATTACGTTGTGATGCTCCAGAACAAATGGAAGCATCACCAAGCGTCTTTGATAGTGTTGAAGTTGCTTGGGTTTCTATAGTTTCAGCATTTTGACATTCTGAAATACGGTCTACTGAATTTGGTGGAGAAGGATTTGATATGGACGTCGGGTTTCCAGCCTGATTCAGAGAATGACAAAGTTATGAGAATGCTTAAGGCATTTTGAAATAATCAGCAAACGTACACATACCTCTCGCTGTTGTTGAGGATGCAATTGGCTTTTATTGGGAGGGTTCTTCAACTCAGTCTCAATATCACTGACTCCTCGAACATGGTTAATATTGCTTTCTACATATGTAGCACCACTAGAAGGAGGTCTATCAACAGAAACAAGTGATTTATCAGAGGGTGAAGCAAATGGTGTTGGCTTAGAGGCAGATTCTGACACCTCGACAGAGGTTTCTGAGAGAATCTTTGGTTCCTCTTCATTAGAGCTAGCTCTCAAAGCTGGTTGCTGTGCTTTTTCTTTTTCCGTTGTCTTCTTGGCAATTGGAAATGAAGATGTCAAAATCTCTCTTCCAACAGAACCAGGAGCTTGGTTAACGGCCACATGAACTGAAGCTGGAGACCACGCATACGTTTTAAAGTTGCAGACAGAAAAAATAATATCAATATTAAAAGCATAATCACCAACAAAAGTTAGTAATCTTGCCTACCTGGAGAGTTATATCCTAGTGCTGGAGCACAGGGAGCCACAAGGGAGTTTGTTATAGGAACCGAAGTAGGATTTTGTAAGAAAATTGGACTTGGCTGAACATGTGGAAAAAAGTTAATAGGACGAGATGGACCATAATGCATAGGCTGTGATGGTAAGCCCCCAAGATGATGTATTGCCAAGCCAGATGAACCACCATCCAACCTCATGTCAACCTTCTCATCTAGTCTCAACTCTTCTTTAGTGTCAGGATGAGTAATTTTAACAGATCGACGAGGATTAACGTTCCTAACATGCTGACCAAACTGTGGTGAAATCCCAAATCCCGTGCTGCCAAACTGAGAGCTTAGCTGATGACCAAATTTAGGAGGGAAGTTCATCATCTGACCCTGATGCATAGCTCCCTGAAGCTGCATATGGTGAGGTTGAAGACCAGGGACAAATGGGGGATGCCTAATGTTGGGATTTCCAACTGGTAGTGGCATTGGCATCGGAAACGAAGAACAGGGCATTCCTTGATGTTGAACCTGTGCTCCGGGCACTCCGAAATGCACAGGACCATGTGGCTGCATAAAAGGAGGATTGACTGGAACCCCAGGAAAAGGGAGAGAGGATAACTTCTGCATGTTACTGACAGGATGAGCAGGTGAAACATGAACAGGTAGATCTCTTTCAGGAAAATGTTGAGGATCAGGAGTTTTATTCGTCGGCTTCCCAATGTCCTCCCTCAGCTGTGGCTGATGTAAAGCAGAAGAAGACAAAAGCTGCAGTGGCCTGAAAGGACTAGATCGTGCCTGCAAAACAGAATGTTGCTTTAAGGAGATGATTAACGTTCCGCCTAAAATACAAATCAGAACATCACTTTGGCAATTGAAAAGCACCATAATATTACTTCAAATGCTGTTCCTGAAAAAAATAATGAAAAGATGATTCCTTTCACTTTAAACAAGCTCAAGTTTCAGTTACCAATAACAAATACAGCTAGACGATGCAATCTCCAAGTCAGCTCTCTCTATCAATGTGGAGAAACATGTCCAAATTATGAGCACAGGTTTTTCAATCAGCCACAGCAACATTGGAAGAGAAGCTTCATAGTGGCGCAAATGTATTACTTGAGTTAAACTTTATCTTGATCTATTCCACTCAGAAATAAAGTGCTAAAATCTTGGACAATAACTATTTTGAGGAGGAGCTGTTCAAGTTTCTCCATGCAATTTTATATAATTTGAGTGAACTTTTAGTGCTTTTGGTACATTGAAATAGTTAGCCAATTCCAACCTGATGTAGTATCTGCAGAGAAACCAAACCATAAAGAATTACTAGGCAGCTTACACTACCTGATGGCGCTTCTGCTCATCCATGTTGGGCGGTGCTGAGCTGGTTCTTTGAGGAATCTAAAGTTAAGAGCAAAAATTATAACAAGAAGTTAAATGTAATCCTTTTGTTAAAGGATAACTTATCCTCTCGTAAAGCACATGGAATATATGAATGACATGTTATATGGTACCTGCATCCCATTCACAAAACCTGGCGTAAAGCTTCCAAACTGAAGAGATACTTTCTTAGAAGTGTCATCTGCCATATGCAAACACAGTTCATAGAAACACAAGTAAATGAAACAGCATTGGAAATACTCAAAACCTTATCAATACAGAACAAATAATGCAGATACATAAGCCAATTTATGGAGCGGGTATAATCATATATGTCCAACTGTTCAATTCATTACCATCTTTACTGTGATTTCCACACCCTTGAGCATCCAATTACCGACAGAGGCAGAATCCATCAAGAGAAAATTGCATTGGGAAATTCTTTAATGTCTAATCACTAAGGACATACATGAAAGCAAGAATACCTTTCATGGGGGTCTTGGGAGCTGATTGATCCAAGTTTATAGATGCATGTTGAGAAGAAAGATCACTAGAAACCATTTGGTATTCGTCGTGTCTGACTGTATCTGTTGGCTCAATAAATTTATCTGAAGTTGGAGCAACTGAAGATCCTTAAAACTCATTGAACGCATGAAATAATGAGAAAAAAGGCATCGCATCACATCACCTATTTGTTTTTTCTATCAAATTATTGATATAAATGATGAGGGACACACCAGATGAGAGGTACTACGCTTGAGAAAATAAAGAAATGAAAACTAGTACTTACACAAATAAAAGAGAGCACAAAAAGAACGAAAACGAGAAAAAAGTTATGCCTCTCTGATCATCATATTGAGCCCACAAAAGCAGTAGCATGCTGGACGTGCTTAGTTTATGCATCTTTATTCCATTACAAGTTCAATTTTCCCAGATAAGTTTTACTTATAAGCAAGCATTGATTTTTGCAATTTTTACGTACTGCAGGCAGCAAATCTCTTTTATTCTTGGATTTCTTTGAGATTATTCCCTTAAGCTTCAGTAGTATCACACCTTTGGTAATTTAGCTTCCAATTTCATAATTCATGCAATAGATCCATGTGCAGTTGCTACAAGCAGATTCTAAAAATCTAGATTCTAGATCCTTTACTGTCTGCTAGACCAATGTAAGCTTCTCATCATCATTTTGCCTATTAACCTGGAGATACTCAGAAACAGTTTGGACTTCTATAAAATCAATCGTTTACCAGTATTTCTACGAAGAATCACTTTTACTAACCCCTCCAGAATATGCAAAATGCTTTGAGCTGTTTTAGAGTTCTAAAAACTCCTAACATTAAGGGCCCGTTTGGACATAAAATTTGGTTGAAGATTTTTCCCAAAAAAAATCGCTTTTTTTCGAAATCAACGTTTGTTCATAAAATTTCCAATTTTCACTTGAAGATGCATTTTGGAAATTTTCGAAAATTTGAAAAACTGCAAAAAGCTGTTTTTCAAAATTTTCACTCAAATCACTCACAAAACTTCAAAAACAACCCAAACTGAAATTTATGTCCAAACACAACTCTAAATTTCAAATACCATTTTCACTTGAAAATTTTTTTCACCATTTTTTCGAATTTTACAATTCTTATGTCCAAACGCCTACTAAGAATGTCAAACATACGAAAAGTTAAGAAATCCAATATGCATGGAATTTTTTCATTGACAGAGGTGAAGGGAAACAGCTGTGAAATCTCAAATGATACGAACAAACTAAGATCATTGCAGTAAACCATAATGCAATGCAGATAAGCTAGAAGGAATTTTGCTAATTGTCGACAAAAAAATCAATTAAGCAGCAAACCATTAAATCAAGGAATTTTCGGAAGGAATATGAACCAGATAAATAGTTAATGGTTAGAGGAAAATACAAAAACCTGATCCTGAGATTCTGGTTGGGGCATCATTTTGCAGATCAACAGACTCCTGATCAGCAATAGCATCGGTCACTTTCAGTGAACCAGTTTCTCCATCAGACTTCTTGAAACTAATATAAGAAATCATTATAAAAAGTCAACTTTTATTCAACCAAAAAATTTCTCGATTAAATAAATTTGTCCATGAACACACTAAGAAGTTGCATGCAAGTATGTCTAAAAATTCAGATGCATGTCGTGTGCAGTTGATGATTACCCCCTAGGAAGCTCCTCAAAAGTGAAATAGCTCAATAAGATAAATAGATCAACAACTTACGATAACAAAGTAACATTCTACTGAGGGAACTCAAACCAACAACAAAGCGCAGTTCAAACTAAACTCCAATCAACTCATTCTTTCAATGTAGCGAAGTGTCATGGAACAATGAGGAGATACTGGTAATTTAGGGGTTATGCTTTGAGTGAATTATGAATTTGGACAAATAGGAAGCCCGATCACTTGCACAGGAACTATCAAGCTTTCGATGCGAATAAGCAAAATCAAACTTAACTGATATCCTACTTTATAGAACAGATTAAGTAGACATTTCAGGACTAATTTAAACTTCTTTTCCATAATTCTGTTTCTTAATCAAACGTAACTGATCTCCAATTTCCTAGAAGAGATTAAGCAGACAACTACATCTGATGGCTCAACAGATTTATCTGAAGTTGGAGCAACTGAAGATCCTGAAAACTCATCGAATGCATGAGATAATTAACACTTCTTTGTTATATTTCCTTTTCTTCCCAAGCAAATACTATCTAGGTTATTGCTTAACTTGGGTCACATTTTCTTGTACTAGTATTCGTTTATCATATTAGAAAATGCAAAGCTTTGTTTATTTAACATACATGTATCAGAATGCATCAGCATTATGTATTCTAAGCACAACAACAGGTCAGAACTAGTTGAGGTCGATTGCATGAATCCTCTATATCCATTCTGTTCTATTTCGGGTTGTTTTCATTCCACAAATATACTAATCCCTTTGTGCCATTTTATGTGACATAAATATTATTTGAAGAGTCAAACAAGTTTTTCTTTGACCATGATTTTTCCATGAACATTTAGAATTATCAATTATTGTGATTATAGTATTTCTTAAGTAATTCTCAAACGTATAAATTTTGTTTCAAAAAACTTGGAAAATGTGGGTCCGAATCAGGGCGGAGCTAGCCCTTCGGTTACGGGTTCTCCAGAACCCAGTAACTTTTGTCCAACGCTGTATTTGTCTTAAAAAATTATTGAATTATACAATTATTAATTTAGAAACTAGTAACTTAAAAGAATTAAAATACTGAACCCATAAGTTTTAAATTCTGGCTACGCCTCTGCATAGACTTTGGATTTGTATTAGGAAATCTATTAAATATGTATAAAAATTTAATTACCAACACAGTAACTAAAACGAGTTATTAGTTCGATGCAACCCATAAACGGCAAATTGTGGCTCCGCCTCTAGTCCAAATTCACACTAAAAGTTAGGAACTTCGGCCCTCGTACTCCGAACCCCACCGTATAAAATGGGACAAAGGGAGTATAAGTAGTAAAAACCCATACCTTGGCGTGGTAGGAGAAGAGGAAACAGAGGAATCGGGAGAAGGAGGAGGTAGAACAGAGCTACCACCGCCTTTTCCAGAGGTAACCCTTTGGTACTGAGGCTGAGCTGATCCTGAACGTCCACTAAGTCTACTACTATTTCTCCTATAATTTGTCTGTGATTCACTTTTCTTCTGATCACCCCTACGCTGCATGTAACATATATTATATAGAAACCTTTTACTCCTCTCTCTGTATTTCTTCTTCAATCTGCAGCAGATCACATGCACACTATAAAAAAAACAATTAATTGATCATGAACAGGAAAATAAATATAGTGTACGTAAATGTAGAATCCATGTATTATTATGTACCTAGATTTTCCATGCGTTGAGAAGGAAGAAATGTGAAAAAACAGATCAAGTCGGAAGATCTAAGGGAGTGTGTGTGTGTGTGTGTTTACTTGGTTATGGAATGTTAAGGAACTGCAGAATAAAAGCCGAAAAGGGAAAAATGAAGAACGAGAAATAGTGAAATGCTCTTTGATCCTTTTCTTTTTATTTTGCCAGAAAATGTTTTTTTTTTTCTAGTTTGAAGAAGTGAATTTTAAGATTACATTAAAAATTAGTTTTATTTATTTTGGAAAAGAAGTTATTCATGATATGGGAAATGAAGTGCTTTCGATCATGATTATTGATTTTTTTCCTTTTCCTCTTATTTATTTTATTTATTTATTTTGCTTCAAGGGAATGAATTTAATTTTTATATTCTGAGTTAACTATATATATGTAAGGTTAAAAAGAGTAACTATATAGGCTATACATAAGGAGACTCTTTCAAAATCTATTTCCTAATTTTGGGATCAGATGACGGAGTTTCTTCAGATCAATCAAACAATAATTTGGCTTAAGATTATTAATACTTTCTTAAGTTATCATCTCTATATCACAAGAGGGTGTATATTTTATTTCCTTAATTGGTCATTTCTGTAACCAAAAAGTTGTACAAAATTTAAAATCTATAATTTGAGGAATCGCCTCTCACCTAATCAAAAGAGGTTTTGCCATTTTACATTTTTTTTTCCCTTTATTATATCCCTTCTAATATCATCAAATTGCAAACTCCACTTACTGTGTAGATAATGTGTAATTTACATGTGAAAAAAGGCAAGTTTTAGGCACTTCTCAGTAATTTGTAAGTTAAATGTTAAGGCATTATGATCACAGCCAAATAAAATATTCACTTAATTATTTTGAAAATAAATTTTGAAATTTTAATGTATATATAATGAAAAGTGGATACAAATAGGCATGAAGGCAATTTACTATCTACAACTTGAATAATATTATGTACAATTTACCAAAAGGCTTGAGCCAAATACAATTGTGTTAAAGCATATGCTTACCATATACAAGGCTAATAGATAAAAAGAAGCAAGAGATGTTTCACAGCTCTGAAACAAATAATTTGACTGGCAATACATTATTTCTACAGTTACAAGAACATTAATACTTGTATCTGCCACTTGAGAATCAACATTTCTTCATTAACCAAGTGTGAATCTGCACATTCTTGCTTTCTTTTTCTTTTTAAAACCAAAAAACTGCACCAAAATGCCTGAAACCAGAAGGAAATAAATAAGAAAACATAATCCACCCGTTGCACTTGCAAACTGTATAAATGTTCAAAACCAAAATTCTCTCATGACTAAAAGACCACCATTCCTAAGGTTTATATTCAGTGTAAACAACTAAAATACAACGTAGTAAGTATCGAATGAAACTATAGTACATAATAGTTTGGTTAAGGGTTCTCTCTACAGATAATAGTAGTAGTTGATAAAGGCACTAATTAGTAGTAACTACTAATGACTTCTTCCATGTTCTGGCATCATTGATTAGAGGAATTAATTACAGCAGTTCTTGTGAATACACCACTTAGCATTTTCAGGGAAAAGCTTACCAATGGTATGCTAGTGTAGCTGTCATATAATACAACAGAGAAGGGTGGCTTCAAAAATTCCTCGACGTTCAGCTGTATCTCCTACAAAAAAGTGTCCTTCGCATACGCCAAAACACTCCAAGCAATCTGACAAGGCGAATAACAAGAAAGAGATAAAAGGATTTTAGCAGGTAGTTGACGAAATAGACAAAACAAGTCTGATTGCTTCAGTTACCAGCAAACGAGAAGAAAGCGTACCTTCATTGTGCACGAGAAGCTTCCTGAAATTCCCAAACTGAACTAAATGCTCGCTTTTGAAGGTTGGTTACAAGAACTAAAGCCATAGGCACGGGGTTCATAAGGTAGCTCTTCAAAAATATGACGGAGACTCTCATTCTGAACCATGGATTCTAGTATGTTGTCCTCAAGCACAGAACAAGAAGGATTTGTCTTGCAAGTATTCACTTCATTCCTAGACAAAAGTACACCAGAATGATATTTTTTCCTCGTCTGCTGTTCGATCTTGTTAACCTCCCATTTCGATGCCACTGGACAGTAAACATGCACAAATTTAGTCTGACCATTCCTGTAGGCTCGACTGACGGCTTGCTGTTCGACCGAGGGATTCCAGTGAACATCAAGCAAAACTACTCGTGAGGCCCCTATAAGATTTATTCCTTCCGAACAGGCCGTTATTGATGCGAGCAGCACTTTCGCATCACTCTTAGGATCATTAAGAGAACTTATTGATTTCTGGCGCTGCTTTACGTCAAGTTCCCCATCCATATATAGAATCTCTCGGCCTAAAGTCCAGTGAAAGAGAGAATTGAGTTGCTCCTTGATCAGTCTTAGAGGATCAAGTAACTGGCTGAATACTATAACCCTCTCTCTCATGCCATCACAGAGTCGGATTAGTTCAACGACAAATTTTGTTTTCACTCCAGTATTTGGATCCAACCGACATTCTCTTTCATTTAGCTGACTTTCTAAGTCAGAGAACACCTTCTTATTTGCCACTAATGAAGGATGAACAGAGATCAGAGACACCATATTTCGAAAGTCAAATGAGCCTGGATACTCTGGAATCATATTGAGCAACTTCTTCTGCAGATCTGTGGGCTTCAAGTATACCAGTGTGTCCCTTATACCCGGAAGGCTTTTCATCTTCACATTTTCACTACATATATGGATTAGTGGTGCAATCATATCCCTAAGCTCTTCCAATGCTCGGGAATTCGTGTCAATAGAATTGCTAAGAGAAGCCCATTTCTGCTCAGATTCTGCAGCAAACTTTGGACTAACTACGCGGAGGGTGTTGTACAACTCTTTAAAGTTATTCTGGAAGACAGTTCCAGACAAAAGTATGCGCCTCTGCGTTTCAACCTTAGTCATAGCTTTATACAGAAGGCTTTGCTCATTCCGAGGAGTATGCCCTTCTTCAAGGACTACAAGACCAGGTAATGTTAGAAGTATTTCTCTAATCTCTTTGGCATAACCATCTCCATATTCTCCCGTGAGCTTCTCGAACAAGTCATAGCTGATCCCCAATACACTCTTACTTTTAGCCCAGGATTTCAGCTTCACCATACGTATATGGTGTTTGTTTTTTCTTCCGGCACGTGATAAACAGTGGTAGAGACCAACCGTGACTTCATCTTCTTGGCACGAGAAATCATTGTTGTTCAAGTTGTGGAAGGGAATGTCCGCCTCCCATTTCTGGAACTCGACTTCCCAGTTAGACAGCAACTTGGGCGGAGCTATGATTACAGGCCGACACTTTGGAAACTGCTTCAGAAATGCCTGAAGAAATACTATGGTCAGACGGGTTTTTCCGGTTCCAGGTGGATGTGAGATTATGCATCCTCCCCTACTAGCAGATAAAGGCTCGCTCAGCTTCTCAAGGTATATATCTCCAGCAATATTTTTCCACATGAACTCAAATCCTTCACGTTGATGAGGATACATTGTTGCTTTGGCATGCAGAGGAACTAAATCCCACACAGTTCCTTCCACATAAATAGCAGAATCATGGACTGCAGAAGGATCATCAAATCTAAACCCGTCAACATCGAAGAATGGTGACGACTCTCCGAAATACGTTCTTTCATGCCTCCCGCGGGTTCTCTCAGCCTGCAAATGACAGAAGTTCAAGACAAACATTAAAAGAGTGAAAATACATATAGGAGAGCACAGTGTATAAAATCAAACATAAGGATGGCAAAAGAATATGTAACCAAGGCTATCAAGTATAAATATAGCTCTATGGACTAAGCAAAACCTCACAAACTAATAGACTGAATTAGTTCCATTTAATACTCTAAATTTTTAGCAAGTCAATTTATAATTGAAAGAGAAAACAGTAAGTGGCAGCTAACTATATTTGGAAAAAAAACCACAGTCCAGAACTTATTACAAATCTGTCAAGGTTGCAATGTAGATCCAGCTACATGATAACAACACATCTTGTAAATGGTGCTTCTAGTTGAAAAGGATAGCGCTTGACAGATAAACTCATATACTTACAAAAGCAGGGTAGATGTACTTGCTCTCCAGATGCACATGTGAACAAACTTTACAGATGAGTCCAATTTGTTCATCTAAAATAAGATGGTGGCTCCCCATCTGACAGCCGCTAACTTTCTCACCCTGCATCAGCAAAAAGAGATTTTACATAGTGTTAGAAGCTGTTAACTTTAGGATATGAACAAATGAAAAACGAGAAATAAGGATTTAGAATTTCAATGAAGTTCAAAACAATAAGCATAGAGTATTGCTGCCTATCAGTTTGTCAAAACATAATAACAAATTTAGACGGGTAAAGCAGAAAATTTTAATGCTAAAACTTATAATTGAATCTGACTGAGAGAGTAGCCCACCAAAGATGGATTTGTGAAGCCAATGCATGATTCTAAGATACCCATGTCCATTTCAGCAAATAAATTGTCGATTTCTTTTTCCCATTCTTCTTTCTCCTGGAGGAGAGGATCCTCGTCTTCAAACCGGAAGATCAACGGAAGTGTTTCTTTGACAGGAAACTGTTCCTTCCCTTCAGGAGAAGCAAGTTTATCATGATCATCAACATTTATAATAGAATCAACAACAAACTTCACAAAGTCGAGATCCTTAAGAATACACTTCTTCCGAGTCTTTCTGTCCTTTTGAGCAGCATTTTTCACAGAGTCATCAGCCTTTTCCTTTTCAGCAACCTTTTTCACCAAGTCATCAACCTTGTCCTTTTGAGCAGCATCTCGTGTCGAGTCATCAGCGTCTGTGCCCTCTTCAAATGGGGATTCAGACTCCTCGTCATCACTGAGAAGAATGGGGCTACTACAATTTCCATGGTTTAACTTCCTCTTTTTTGACTTAGAAAGTGAGCGTGGACGAAGAAGATATGCTCGGCCCCTGTGCTTTTCACCCTCAACAACAAGCTGAGGTATTAGCCCCTCATTTGACTCCCCTTTTCCTTCTCCATTTTCTTGTTGCTCTACAGGATCATCATCTTCTGATTCCTTTCTTCCATCAATGTCATCATCCAAACCAATTCTTATATTAGATCCTTTTCCTTCTTCATTGTCTTGAAGCTCTATATGACAACTCACATCATCAATGTTGTCATCTGA